AACGGGAGCCAATTGAAAAATATATTAGGCACGTGATATTATTGGATAACGTTGCGAAAAAATACGACTCAAACACGAGTGATCACGCTTGAGAGTTTTCGTTCATTTTTCAACAAAGAATTAAGTGTTTCACGACAAAATGGAAGTTTGTTTCATTTTAAGGAGAGGCCACAACGCGAGCGAAAGTAAGCTAAGTTAGCTCAGCTTATATATCTACAAGCAACGAACTATGCTAGTTAAGCTAACTAAGCTTAGCTTAGGTCACGTAGCTGCATGCAAAGCTAGGCTAAGAAAATAGGCCGTAGTGAAGTGCTGCCACTGGGTGAAGGACGACCACGGAAGAAAAATACAATGGAAGTGCCTTAAGCTTAGATTACTATCAGAACGATAATTTGAAACACTACAAAATCTTGATATTGATTGGTCGTAGTTTCAAATTTAAAAAGAAATAATAAATTCTGGATTGTTCATATAATTTAAACTTTACCCTGTTGGCATGTCGTTGAAAGTTCAATACCATCAATATCTATTATTACAAGTTACGACGTTTTGATATTGAAATTTAAATCAAAGTGCTGCCATCTAGCGGTTCATTGCAGAACGACGGTGAATTGGAAAATATATGCTATTGAAAACGATGTGTTGTTGTGTCTTGACTGTATATAGTAGTGACGTTATTAATTTATATATAATGATAGTTTGTTTGAAGTTGTCCCTTTGCCCGGGTCGTGACCATTTGATTTCAGTCGCCGGTGAGAGAGGACAGGGGGAAGAATAAAGAATGTAAACTGAAAGAATGAACTGTGACCTTTGTGAAAGCTTAGCTTTGCCTATCTAACGACATAAATTTAAATGATAATTGAAGCCGCCTCTTGCATTTATTGTATTGATAAATGTCAATTTCATTTATTTAGGACAACCAACAATTCAAACACTCAATACATAATTACACAATACGAATTGACTAGTGCTAAACTGTTGCCTCAATTAAGATTGCCCAAGATGTTATTCACAAATTTGATTATATATATATATATATATATATATATATAAAATAAACGTTAAATATATTTAGAACATGATCATAAACTTAAAGATGTGAAGAAATACATCAATAAAAGTAAATACGTTAACAACCACATTACATTGCAATGGAAGACATAGTATTGTAACAATGTTGTTGCATTCACATAATATTGTATCACTTCTATTTTAATTAAGGCTTCTAACGTGCTTTACTTTATCAACGATAGTTTTCTAGAGTAGCGGCCTATCTCAAAAAACACTTGAAGCAACACCAAGCTGTTTTCGAAATAAATAAATAAAAAAATAAAAAAAATTATTTCTCCACAAAATGGGAAAGACAATACTTAAGAAGTAATAGAAAACAATAAAACAATTGAATGATGTGGACAAAAAGGTTAAAGACTCCCAGCATTGCCTGTCTTCACCTGTAGCTAGCTGTTCGCTTGCTGCACCAAGCTAATATGCAGAGTATAAACCAAGTAATAACTTATAATAAATAAATAAATAACGAACACACTCATAGGCTCGTATTCCAGAATTCTACTCAATGTTCATGTGTCAGGACTTCAGCAGACTCGAGTATGATTTCAAGCACTGGAAATACGACCCTAATGGCAAGGACTTGAGTATGATTTTCAGTGCTCACTGCAATGCTCAAGTCTTGACTTGAGTATTGAGTAGAGTTCTGGAATACGACCCATAGCATCGCACTAGGGAAACCCTGTATCGCGGGTGCCATGGACACACACAGACAACCACGAATTATATCCAAACCCACAAGAGAAATAAATTTAGCCCGTATAAATATTTCTCCCGGCCCGGGAATCGAATCCGGGACCTAAGCGTGGCAGTCCAGCAGTTATAATAACTAGTAATAAGTTAGTCTTTAAACTTTCCGTTGAATGTTATTTTTTATTTATTTAACCTAAAATTTAAAATTTCGCGCTACTAGTAATTTTAAGAAGGGATCAGTTGTTACTCGATTTCCGTACATATAGATTATTTATCTTATAATTGGGATCCCCTACACTGACTGGAAAAGAAGCTGGAGATTTTTAAACTGCTAATAATGAACGGATGTTCATAGCTCAGAACCATCCCGATTAAATTAGGCTTCAAATGACAAGAAACCCGGTTTAAGGTCATTACAAAAGTTTGGAAGCTACGATACCTACGATACGATAGACAGACACACATAAAAGGCTTTAAAATGATTCCTTATCTTTTTCGGGGGTTAAAAGCTGAGGCTTATTAAGCCTAAGTGCATAGCGTACAAAGCAGACGAATATATCATAATGTTATCATCATCATCTACAGATTGATTTCACAAACTGTTAGGTTAGGTTAGTTTAGATTAGTAGTTTGTTGGGCCGCCTGTAGTTTAAGTCATCCACCATGATCTTGATCTAGTCTTACCCATCTTTGTTCCGCGACTATGACATTTCTGTGACCACTTCTTAATCACCGTTGGGTTGTCGTTTTTCTTCATCTGTCATCGTCGAATCGTTAGCGGATCAATGTCATGTGACAAATGAAAAGCTTCGCGCGTTTTTTGCAATAAAATTTAGCACTTAATAAGTATTAACCTAAAACTAAACTTAAAAAATATCAAGTGACGGGGCGAATAAGTCTTGCGCCTGATGGTAAGCCACACTCCTGTCCATAACTGGCACTGCCATTGCGCCCGTCACCCTGAGACATAAGTTGACAAGTCCCATGTGCCCGTAATTTCACAAGCACCCTTATCCTTCAAAACCGGAACACAGTAATGCTAACATTACTGCTTGGCGGAGGAAATAGGTAAGGTGGCAGTACTTCCCTGGACGAACTCTTTCACTAGGAGCTCTACTGCTACTGTATATGTTGTTGAAATATTTAGGTTTGAACCACTATTCTTGTGTAGCGATAAGTCATACTTTCTTGCGTTCTTGTGTAACTTTTCGCTACCAGGATAACAAGAACATTTGTCACAAATACATACCTACATATCTTATTTTTAATACGCCAGACCCAAACTATGCGGTGCTACGTCAAGGGCCTGTCTTGTACATGATTAAAACGTTTTGTTGTTAATTAGAACACAATGTGTATGGTACCTATTCCTGCATCGATCTGTGTTACAATTCAAACAGTGAACTGCAAACATGGCTTATTCAACGTGACATGGATTTACGAGGCCGTTTGTTATATTTGGGTCATAGTACAGGAAACATGTAATTTAACGCGGTATGTTATTTAACTGGATGTTAATTACGCTACACCCAAAGGGGCTGAACCCAGCCGTTAATGCCAACATGTTACTGTGGAGATGCGAAACATAATTCGTTTCTTATTATAAATGTTAATACTCCAGTGCACAAAAATAAATGGAACGCGCGATTCCAGTCGAGTCTCCATGTTAAATGTTCATATTAATAGTAAGAAGTAAAGTTCGAAGTGATAATTATCATAATTATGTTGATATTTATAAAATTAATTGGAACAACAAAGTGCTACTACTATAATAGCTATGTCGTGCTATGTGTTTGTATCAGAGACGTACATATCTAAACGTGTCAAATGTTAATATAAAATAATCTCAGTACAGAGTACTAAAAAAACCGACCTCAAAAGTACGTGGAATTACATCTATTTGCCAAGTTTTATTGAAATATCCCCTAGTTCGCCACTATACAAGACTTGACATAAAAATAATGAAAATCGCTTCTCACTACATTAAGAGAGAAAAACGCATTGAATTGGAGAATAGCAAAACCAACCATTAAAATAATTGCTCCTTAAGTAAAATTTAGGGGTTATTTACAAAAATGAATGTTCATGCGCGATCAGCCACCCTTAGAGGTGAATGATTTTCCTCAAAATGAAATGGGACCACTATGGAGGTACCCTCTTTCCAACAAAAAATAATCATGAAAATCGGTTCACAAATACCGAAGTTATCGCGTAACACGTACAGACGAATTGAGAGCCTCCTCTTTTTTTTAAAGTCGTTAAAAAAGGGGCAAATGTAATCATTTTCCCAACGATTTTTCTTGTTTTAATTTAGTTTTCTCACTGTTTGTCATTTTTAGTCAAAAAATAAAGAGACAAAACTATAAACTACTATAATTATTATACTGGGTGACAGGTTGAACGAGATAAATATATAAAGAGGCGAATGAGTAGCTGATACCCATAGCGAAGATGTAAAAGAAAACATGTTACCTTTTATTTTTAAGTAGTTTTCTTTAAGGAAAATACTGCCTCTAATATTTTGTAATACTCTGCGCGAGATACCGCGTCAATCGAACATGCCCGCTACCTTACCGGCCTTTGCGCACGCGTTTCGCACCCCCGCTCCAGCTCGTTGAAGCGCCGACCACCCGCTACCATCTGGTTAATTCGCTTGCGCTCTTGTGTTAGACGCGACGAGGCGTATTTGTTTTGCGTAGTTCAGTGGAGTGCAGTGATGTTCATTAATGATGTCTTACCAATATTGGGACATGATGCGGTGTTACGTTATGTTATGTTGTGCAAATAATGTTACTAGTCGTGCTAGGGGCATGTACTGAGAAATATACCTTAGTCGGCGTGCTCCATCCTACATATTGATGTTAGGACTCAATTTTGTCTATCTTAAGCAAGGACCTGAATAGTACTCTTTAAGCAGGAACGCTTGACACGCGCTCGAAGCGCGGCGTAGGTGTTCAATTTTCTAGCGCTCAGCTGTTTCATAGAGTAGCCCAAATGAAGAGTTAGTATTTGTAAAATGGCACGTCATTTTATTTTCTTATGTTTAGGGGCGATTCTTTTTACATATTCGGATTAGATATCAGCTACACGTTTGCCTCTTTAAATATTTATCTCGTTGAACCTGTCACCCTATATATCGGACAAATATCTTGATAATTTATAATCCTGGTAGGAAATAACTCTTCAATATTGATGTATAGTATATGATTATTTAATAAACTTGTGTTGTTTCTTGTTTCCAGGGCAAAGTGGCTCCAGAATGTACGGAACCGTGCCGTCGTGCGCAGCCCTCACCGCGTACCACCTGCACGCCAAAACGCGCCATCCCCCAATTATCTGATGATGGTAAGTACACTATTTACTTTTCATTATGTACTATAGGACTAATCTATGTTATGTCAATCGCAGAATCACATAAGGCTCATAGCTTTACGCATGAAAAATATCTCATATATTTGACTCTAAGGATTTTTAAAGGTACAATTTGTAAGGGTTATGAACGGGTTTGGAAATAGAAATGAAGAAATATTTCTTTTATATTGTAACTTGATTTTGTAGTTTTTATTACACAGTTAATAGCTGCCTCAATTTTAGATACTTTACAGATCTTGTCTCAAGTGTTATAAAGTTGAATTTAAATATTAAATATAAGTCTGAGTGTGCTTTTGAGAGTAATATAAATATTAAATCAGTGCTGACTGATTGACTGTTGAAATTTAAATAGGACCACTACTGAGGTACCCTCTTTCCAACAAACAAAAAAGTGTCATCAAAATCAGTTCACAAATGCCAGCCGGAGTTGTCGCGTAATATACATACAAAAAAAATACAGTTCTCCTTTTTTGAAGTCGGTTAAACAACTCCTTATAGCTATATAACGTCGTTTTACTGCGTGGACATTTAAGTTTTTTCTGACCGGCTCAAGTTAATTCCGAGTTAATAAATGTGTTGACTCCCTTAGTTCGATAGCTACCGCCCCGGCGGGCGCCATATCCGATCGAATGACCGCCCCACCATCTAGCAGACATGTCCCCAATTATACGCATCTAAAACCAATTTACCCAGTGAAAAATATCACAAATTACTTGAAGGAGAATTATTTCATGTTTTAGGAAAATTAGTTTTATAACTAGTTTACTCAAAACGTATATAAAAAGTAATAAGATGCTGAATTTATTCGTTACCGGAGATTGATTTTGGATATAGTAATTGATAAAAAAATTCCCAAGAACTTATGAAAGCCTAAATTTTAAACGTCAATCAATTTCTACTCAGAAAAGTTGAAGAAAAACTTTAAGTCAGGTTATTAATTTCACGAAGCCTTGTTTTGTGTATAAAAAATGTGTTAGAATTGTTATATAAGTTTACTTTTCGAGAACATCATGTTTTGCTTTACAATTCGTTATATTTATTTAACTATTAAGAATAGATATATCGTCTGCCATAAGCCGCTGAAACATCGGTACAATATACTATATACTAGAATTTTACGAAATTAAGCTTCTTGGAGAAGATTTTCTTTACCACTAAGTACTACAACGTGTTTCTGAAAATACCCTTTGACATATTAAACTGATGTAATTGGTTAAGCGATGAGAGTTTTCAGTAGGACTAGCATGACAGAGTGCGACTTGCGTGGGAGCGACATAAAGTGCGGGATTTCTATGCGAGAACAGCATATTTCGCACTTTATGTCGCTCACTCGTAAGTCGCGCCCTGTTGTGCTAGCCCTACAGTTCCATTCTTAGAAAGTTCTCAAAAAAAAAAAAATTAATGATGAATAGGAATCTTTTTGATGCCTGCTTTTGTTCTGATAAGTATCTGCACAACTTCTTGAATATATTTTCTTTCACTTGTTGATTTTAGTTCTCTGATTGTTACGGTGTACTGGTAAAAAGTAATGTACGTGGGCCTTTACAAAGTATATAAGAAAATGAATTTATTCATAAAAATAAATTTATATTACAGTTACAACTTAACCGCTTGCTTAAATACTTTAGACGTATACACATTGCATAAATTAAAGGAAAAGGTTCAAATATGACCTAGACCCGGCGCAAAAGTAACCTATTTGATTTTTTCTTATATTAAGTAAGTAAATTCTGTATAGTTTTTGTTTTCGATATCAATGGCTAACATGTTAATTGCATTTTGATTTTGCTCTGGCGCATAGAGTTAGGTAATGTATTTCCATGTAGGTATAAACAAAAGCCTTCAACAGTTTTTGTTCTATACTCTTCAAAAACTATTATGACGAAGTATAATGTAAACTGTGTACCGTCTAGGCTCTCGGGTTTCTCTCCGAGAAAAGTTTAAGGAGACTGGTATCATGACTGTGGCATCATAGTACATTTACTCAAATATTTTATATGCTCGTAAAAATATACATAATTTCAATAAGAAAGAAGATATCCATAATATTAACCTTAGAGCTAAGTCCAAAATCATGGTACCACGATTTCGTTTAACCAAGGTAAACAACTCTTTTATGGGGAACTGTGTACGTTTTTACAATAAGATTCCGGAGCATATATTAAGTTTATCATTTCTTAAGTTTAAAAACTACATTAAAAATATTTTGATCGAAAAATCATATTACAAAATTGAAGACTACGTGTTAGATTAAGATGTATGGAAAGACGACATGGCTCCAGAATCCACACAAATTTGATTCAAAGTGTATTCCATAGCATTTAAGTTTATTTGAAAAGAGCAATCCCTAGAATTTCTTGCTCGCTCTTCTCAGGGAGGTCAGCGTAGTGAACGAGCAGTACCTTAAATGTGACGATTTCAAGTGTAAATTTATTTTACCTATGGAATAAATAATCTTTGACTTTGACTTTGACTAATAAAGATATATCACTAATTACAGTTTTATTATTTCTTTTTGTTTTCCCGATATTTTGGAACGGTTACACGCTCCATGACCACGGGTTGACTGGTCAGCGGCAGATGACAGCTTTAAGAATAGACATATCTATCTACCCTCTTTGCGTTGTCGAGATGAAGGCAGTTGTCGAGTCTTAAAACCCGTATTCATATCGTTCCATTCCTCAGTTACTGTCGTATCTGATATTTTTGTCACATCTCGAGGTACGATCGTGCTTAGCTTTCAAACGCGAACATTCTCTTTTCATCTTTAAATATCTATCTTTTTTATATGTAAATATAATTTTTTAATAAATAATAAAATTATAATTAATAAAACCTACTTGAGTCGAGCTTGATGTAAGTGGTAAACCGAAAATGCGTTGACATAAAAAATTGCCAAGTGTTGTTCCTATACATACATACAGTATTGAACAGCAAATGTTTTTCCAATTTTGGGTCTCCATAAATGAAATTGATGTCATTGATTTGTATAATCATCTTCTAAAATATTATGTAAAAAAAAATAACTTGGAAATAAATAATTTTTTTTCCGATCTCAATCGCCAATTTTTGTTTTTCCTAACAAACCAACGCTGCGGGTCCTTTACAGGTCTCATGCAAATTTATATTAATATATTAATTCAAATCATCCTATTTTTCGTTAGTGTTATTAATTTAAATACTTTATTTTTAATTTATGAAAGAACAGAAGCCTAGTTTCGTTTAAATTTGATATCTATATTAAATAATATGTAATTTTTGCAGACGATTAATTAAATTTTAGATCTAATGTCAACGACAGCACTTGTCTATTCTGAATCAACCGACCGTGACCGCAAGCCAAGCTCAGTTGTTGCGAAATTCAACACCTGCTTTATCAGTTGGCAATTCTAATTGTACCTTGTATTGTATTGTCATACCTTTGCGATGATGAAAATGTCAAATGTCACGTTTGGATTAGTTGCCAGGTGTGTTGAAAACTTTTGCACCTGGATCACGTATACACTCTGCCTTTGTTACTCTCTGCTTAAATTGCACGATGTTTGTTCTTCGGGTGCCCTAAGCTTAACCTCGCCTCGGGGTAGACTCTGAAACGGGGTGGCGGAGTGTCCATAGTCGAAACGAATTATTAGCAAAATTAAATTTAGAATTTGGTAGTTACCAAATTGATTAGGTCCATGGATCCATGGATCTTGATTTCCAATGACGTTCAGGAGTAACATTTTTCTTTTTTTATGGTACCAAATGACGGGACTAACAATTCGTGCGTTTAGTGGTAAGCGACACGCCTGTCCATAAAAATTGTAAATGCCACTCAGAGCTTTAAATCGCAAAGATCTGTTGGGCATTGCCACTGCGCCCGTCACTCTGAGACATAAGTGGACAAATCGCATGCCTGTAATTTCATTAGCACCCTTCAAAATCCGAACATAGTAATGATCACGCCATTGCTTGGCGGCGGAAATACTAAGGTGGCATTACTTCCCTGGACGAACTCTGTCACAACGAGCTCTACTGCCATAGTTATTGTTAAATTACCTGCCCATCAAACACAACAAATGTTGAAAATGTAACATTTCGTTAACATCGTGTAAGTTGAAATAGAAAACTGAACGCGTGTCTGTAATTTTCAAATTGACGTTATCAATTAACGCCATCGGACTCGAATGTGAAACTCGGCGTTTTTGTTAAGAGAAATGTACCGATGCATGTCATAATAAACGGACTGTAATTTCACAAGTTGCTATGAATTATCTATGGTATTTGATTAGGTACATTGTGGTAGTAGTTAAGTTGCAGCGTGCAGTTTAATACTAACTACCACTTGTGAATGAAAACAACGCGAGGAAACCAGCTAACCCGTCGGGTTCACATATTTTTTCGAAGGCGTAAATGTCCCAACTCACATTGGCGGATTATGACCTCAAATAATTCCATATAAGAGTATATGTTTATGAAAATTTATTTAATATTTAGGAGAAAAAAAAACGTTGAATGCCTTGTCATTATTTTTTATTGGTAGAATTGTTTACAGAAGGGTTTAAAATCCTGTCCGAGATCGTAAAAAGTCATTAAACTTTTTGTAAATGAAAGTATTTTATACGCGTCCGTATTTTTATAATCGTACTCGTAAAAATCAACTATGCGCACATTAAAGAAAACGCAAATATGGGACTTTCCGTGATAAAATTTTTATTCATCTTTCTTTATGGTTTCGCGGAAGACTGGAAAATTGATATAAACTGGAATTTTTGTTACAATTTCAACACGCTTCATTCTGATAAGCATTTTTTTAAATATTGTCTTTGTGTCAACAAGCAACGAATTTCTAACCAAATTCTTCTTCTTGTCGATCAATGACAAAAATCAATAAAACACCGAACCAGTGTTATATTTCTTTGGCCCAGTAAGCAGCGACCTCTGTACAGTATCTGTTGCCTTTAGCAGGTCTTCGCAAGTGCAGCTGGTCTTAC